GATTACTACCGATTTGGGGTATCTTTTCTTACATTAATTGGATGTTCACTATTTTTCTTCTTTTAATTGTTTATCCATGTCATTGTCCATTTATCTACTGCATTGATTTTTTTTATTGATTAGCATAAATCTTTAGTACAGTGATACCTCGGTTCTCGAACGCCTTGACTTTCGACCAAATCGGTATTCGACCAGGAGATTCGAGAAACTTTTGTCTTGGAATCCGAACAAATATTTGGAACTCGAACTTCCGAGATGAGCCGAGTTGAGCCGAATGGCGTTCATTCGGCCCAGCGCGCCTTTCTTGCGCCATCAGTGTGAGTGCAGAGAGAGAGTCACGCTTTGTGGAGAGAGTCACGCTTTACACTGAATTTAACCCTTAGACATACTGTACACTTTTATTTCTTGTTGAGACTTATGTTTTTCTACATATTATATACAAATTAGGCCAGTAAATAGGCATTTTCTGGGGCTTGGAACGAATTAATCCAGTTTCCATTATTTCCTATTGGGTTTCATTGCTTCGGTTCTCGAACAATTTGGTTCTCGACCGTCCTCCTGGAACGAATTATGTTCGAGAACCGAGGTATCACTGTATTCATTTTGTTGACTATATGTGTTAAGAATATCTTCTCCCAGTCTATGGATTGTCATTGTACTTTGCTTACCTGACAGCATAGAAGGTTCTGATTTTAAGGTTGTTGACTTTATCACTATTCTCCTATACACCTTGTGATTTTTGAGTCTTGTTTAAGTAATTGTTCCTTCTCCTGAAGATCAGAAAGGTTGTTTCCTAGATTTTCTTCTAAAATACTTGAAGTTTATCTTTTCAGATTTAGATCTGTACCTGCTGTGTATGTTTCTATGTGGTAATGGTCCCAGCATCATTTATTGGAGATTCCATCACTGATCTGCAATGCTACTTTTGTCATATATTAATAGTACACATATGCACTGTTTTGTTTCTGAGCTTCTTATTTTGATATTAAAGCCTTTCTGTCTACTCCTACAACAACATCCCACTGCCTTAGTTACGATGTGTTTAAATTGAATGTTGATATCTAATAGAGCAAGTCCTCCAACTTTGATCTTCTTTGTCATGGGAATTATCTCTTGCTGCATAAAAAAAAAGCACCCTAAAACTTAGTGGCTTAAAACAACAGCTTTTATTATATCTAATGACTTAATGAGTGAGTCATTTGGGCAGGTCTCAAGTGGCCAATTTCTTTGCTCCATTGGTGCCAACTGGGGTCAGTGAGTGGTATTCTGTCCAGAGCTAGGCTTCACTGGAGGGTCCAAGATAGCTTCCCTCATATGTCTCGTACCTTGAAGGAGACCTTTGGAAGGCTGGAATCAACTGAGTCCCTCTCCCTATCCCTGTAGTCTCAGGGCAAGCTCACTGGTCTGCCCAGCAGGTATTCAGATTTGTTACATTGGTGGCTCAGGGCAAGAGTTGCTAGATATAGCAAATAAAAATAGGGTGCCTCCAGAAAAAAATTGTTATGCACATAAATGACAAATACTTAAAAAAATTTTTTTAAATCCTCACCCGAGGACATTTTTGCATTTTATCTTGAGATATAGAGTGGGAGGGAGAGAAGGAGAAAGAGAGAGATAGAAACATCAATGTGATAGAGACACATCGAATGGTTGCCACCCGCACGACCCCAACCGGGGCCGGGGACAAACTGCAACTGAGGTACATGCCCTTAGCGGGAACCGAACCCGGGTCTCTCGGGTTCCTGGGCCGACGCTCTAACCGCTGAGCCAAACAGGCCAGGGTGACAAATACTTTTTAAATGTTCATACAAGGTTTGCAACATACATATGTTAAAATTTACTCGCTGATTTTCTGAAATTCAAATTTAACTGTATATCCTTATTTTACCTGGCTATCTTCTTCATGGCTACTATAGACCAAGACAGAAGCTATAAGCCATCTTAAAGCTTAAAGCCCTACTTAAATAATGCATACTCCTTAAAATGATCCCATTTATATCATAACGACTACTTTGTCTGATCTAAACAAGTATACATACAGCACTATCACCAGATAATAATTCTGCTTCAAACATAGACAACATTAATTAACATAAACTTCAGGCAAGCCATAACTTAAGCAAAACTTCAGGGGGATGGAGTAATTGGATGTTTGGGAGTTAATTTTTTCCCCCTTCCTTTTAAATAACACACACACGCACACGCACACACACATTGCTTCAATTCAACACATTTACTTATTTTGTTATAATCAGTACTTAAAATATCAGCTACATGTGCCAAAATTATAGAGTCTTTCTTTTTCTCATCTTCATGACAAGTATTACAAGCCAAGAAATAAATTACTACATTATGAGCCTGATACTAAACAAAATTCCTGTCTGTGTATTCAGCTGCTCACCCTTGGCAAGTAAATGAGCAGTACAGAACTTCTGTTTACTCACACCCACCACCAAATCAAAGGTTAAGAGTAAATAAAATGTAGATGTAAAGTATGTGATAGCTTTGCTTTCACTTTACAACAAAACAACAACAAAAAGAAACCTACCACCAAATTGCTTATAACCTGTAATAAATCTGTAGGCAACTTTCAAACAGTGAACAGCTTGATTAACAGATCAGCTACAACACGAACTCTTGCTTTTAGAATTCATTGTACAATTGTCATTCTTCTTTCATGTCATGTTGTTTTGCAGTATGTTGTTTTGTTGCCTGTGTTTTTAATTTTTTTTTTTTTATTGATTTTAGAGAGTGAGGAAGGGAGAGGGAAAGAGAGATACAAACATTGATGAGAGAGTACATGGACTGGCTACCTCCTGCATGCCCCCACTGGGGATTTGGCCCACAACCTGGGCTTGTGCCCTGACTGGGAATGGAACCTGTGACCTCTTGGTGCATGGCTCTGTGCCCAACCACTTAATCACATTGGCTGGGCTTCCCGTGTTTTTTAATTCGTCATTTTACTTTTTATTGTTTCATGTCCAGTTTCTTCTAAAGTCAATTCCTGCCCGGCCGGTGTGGCTCAGTGGTTGAGCATCGAGCTATGCACTAAGAGGTTGCCAGTTCACCCTGGCCAGTTTGGCTCAGCAGTTAGAGCATTGGCCCACAAACCAGAGAGACCTGGGTTTGGTTCCCGATAAGGTCATGTACCTTGGTTGCAGTTTGTCCCCGGCCTGGTTGGGGTTGTGTGGGTGGCAACCAGTTGATGTGTCTCTCTCACATTGATGTTTCTCTCTCTCTTCCTCCTTCTCTCCCTCCCGCTCTATCTTAAGATAAATGCAAAAATGTCCTTGGGTAAGAATAAAATTAAAAAAAAAAAGAGGTTGCTGGTTCGATTTCTGGTCAGGGCACATGCCCAGGTTGTGGGCCCAATCCCTAGTGCAGGGCATGCAGGAGGAAGCCAATCGATGTTCTCTCTCATTAATGTTTCTATCTCTCTCCCCCTCTCCCTTCCTCTCTCTCTAAAGTCAATAAAGAAAAAAACAATAAAGTCAATTCCTAAAGGTCATAATCATACCTCTTATTGGCAGCACTAAATTTATATAACCCAAGGTCTCCTGCCTCTACTAAAATGACTGTTCACCACCAATGCCTACTGGAGCAGGTATGTGAGTCACTGTTGCCAGATTCGTAGAAGCAAAGACACAAGAATAATTTTCCAGAAGTGAAGTTCATTAAATATTGCATTAGTGTCTCAAGAGACTTTGCGATCTCTCAGATGGATGTCTTGTCAAACCTGAGGTCCTCCAGTAGTCTCAGAAAACTTAAGTTTGAAAAATAACAAGTGGCATGGATGGCATGGACCCACACTGGCTTTCAGAGAAAGGATTATAGGTTATAAAGGTGTGAAATCAAATGACCTTTGGAATGCTATGGATATCTATATTCCCATCAGCTGGACCTTAGCAGTAATAGACAAATGAATAGAATTAAGCTTGGAATTCCTTACCCTCCCAAATCGGCATTTTCTCAATTTCACAAAGTGGAAGAGCTGAGTTTCTCCTCATTCCTACTCCATCAAAGAGTAGGAGAGCCTCCTACTCTTTGACAAGCAGATCTGTCTTCCTTTGTATTGAGGAGGCTCATCTACTAAAGCTCTTTCCCTGAATTAGGGGCTTGTTCTTGCATCTTTGCAGGAACATTTGAGATTATCTAGAGACAATGAAATTAGAAGCCTCTTTACAACCTGAGCGTTAGTGAACCCTGCTGGCTGGGTGATGAAATGAGGTTTGGGCTATGGGTTGCCTTTCTGCAAGCTGAAGATGTTAAAGACCTTGAGCCCTAGGTTTGTTCTGATTCTGTTGGTCTGTCTCTGTCTCAGTCCTTAGCCTGATGGACAAAGAGGACGCAGAGTGCTTTAGGACCATAAAGAGATTACCTGGTGCCTCATTCCACTGATCATGTTTATCTCAGCGTCCCAGCACAGAATCCCTCAGGAAGTGGACCCTGCTGAGAGGAATAGGAAGGGGAAGGGTACCTTCGGGTGAGGCTTGATTAAGTTCAGAGAAAGAGGAACAGAATAGTAAAGATGCGGGTGGTAGACTCAAAGAACCGCAAGGGACGTGGTCCAGAGCTCCCAGCCGGAGGACGCACCTATGCTGTAAATTCTCTGCAATCCAACCAGCAGTTACCCAGCGCCCCCTCTATATCACAGGGATAAAACAGTGAATTACACCAGGGCTCCGGTTGTTAAGGTTCACCTAGATGGGGTGTGCCTCTCCAGAGCCTGGAGGTGATCAATCGGTTGTTGCCAAAATCTCAACATGTCTCCCCACTTCCTAAAGGACAAAGGCCTGGAATAAACCAGTCTCCTTGCCCCGCTGGAAATCCTTGCGGGGCTGGCAGTGGTGGGGAGGGGGAGGGGGGCGGAGGCAGCTGGGACGCCTTGACCTCATTTCATTCTCCACGCTTCTCCTTCCTCGGGCGCACCCACGTGACCACCTTCCCCTAAATAAAGTTGAAACAGTTCTAGGCAGCGCTCAGTTGCCGAGGGAGACGGCACCAGGAGTGAGCTCCCGCAGCCGCAGCAGTGCCCTGCTGGCGCCTCCCCAACCCCGCAACACGCACGCAGCCTGCACCGTCGGATCAGTCGTCATCCCGAGCTCGGCGCCTGGCACAGGAACCGCACAGGTAGGAAGCCCCGCTCGGCCCTCAGGTGAAAGGCGGGCGGGCGGGCGCCGGGGCTTTGGCACCGGGAACAGAGCTGGGCCGGGGAGGCGGCGTGAAGAGGTACAGAGCGAATTCTGCGCGTGCAGAGACCGCAAGGATGGATGCGGTCTGCGCCGGGTCCTGCCGAGAGTGACAGGCTTCGGGGAGGTGGCGTTGGCTGCCAGCTGGGGAAAGTGCGGTGTGCTGGGAGCCCAGAAGCCTGGAATTTCTCCTCAACCCAGCCTGCACCTCGCAGGGTAACCTTGAGAGAGGAGGCTCTCCTCGCCTCTCCAAACCTAAGTTTCCCCGTTTGCAAGAACCAGGCTCGGGCTCGCGCCTGCTCCAGCTACTGCGGCGGAAGGCGCGGAGGAGACAATGGCGGACGGCGCGGAGCACCTGTGCGGAGGGCCGCGGCCTGGAGCGCGGTGGCCGGGCTGCGGGGCGGGGCACAGGCCCCCTGGAAAATAGAGATGGGACTGCTCTATGGGGGCGGGGCCTGGCGCTCGCTCCTGGGGCGTTCGCCCCCTTGGCACCCATGTTCGGATCCTGCTGAAGCTGTGGACAGAACTGGGGTCCAAGGGCCCTACCCCCGGGCTGCTGGCTCCTTTCAATTGAGCCGGCGTCCAGTCGGTTTCCTGGGCTTTAGGTGTGGCAGCAGGACCCAAACTTGCTAGATGAGGGTCCCCAGAATGCCTAGGCTCCTCCCTGGCCACCCGTCCCCAAGATGCGTCTGGTTTGGTCTGGGATCGCTGGGAGAAAGGGAGGGGGAGGGGATGAGAGAGTGGGAACCGACAGGGAGGGAAGGAGTGTCTGTGCCTCTGTGTGTGGTGGTGGACGGTGATGCCCCCTGGAATTCTCAGTCATCTAGCCGGTGTCAAGCCTCCAATCTCAACTCTCGAGGGCCCTCTATCCCAACACAGTCCTTGGGGTAACAGCTGAGAGGACACGCCTCACCTGGAAAAGGGAATGGACAAGCTGGAAGTTGACCCTACAGGATCTCAGGGGCAGTGATCCCCAAGCCAAAACCTGAGAGTGATTTGAGACACAGGTTTCATCTCACATTTCAGGAGGAGTGGCAGAGGGAGGGAAAGGGCAACGAGGGGTGGGGTGGGGTGGAGGGGAGCAGGCAAAGTACTGGCCTAGGCAGAGGATGACCTCTATTTATTCCAGATCCTTGTCTGGCATCACCCTCTGACAACAGTAGCAGCTGCACCAACCGTCTGAGTGGCCCAGAAGATGGAAGCCTGAAGGGGAGAACAGCACCCTGAGTCCGGGCCATCTGCATTGGACCTCAGGTAACCCGGGAAAGGGTGGAGCCAGGGAAGGGTATAAGCCTCTAGCTCTTTCCTCCTTTTTAATCCTATTCAAAGGGTAGGACGAGGTAGTGCTCCTATCTCCCTATCTTGAAAGCAAATACCTTATTCTACCCCTGCTAGCAATGTACTTTCAACTGCCCTGACTTGGGAGTGGTAATGATTTCTCTTTCCCAGTACCCATCACCTGCATTTGCTATCAACAAGTAACTTTTAAGACTCCAACCATTACAAGGACATGAGCTGGGATTCAAAAAAGAAATAACAATTCAGTGATGTGGTCTGGTGGGGCAGATAGGTAACCATTATAGTTATGGAGCCACTACCCTACCTCAGTTTCTACTCCTGTATAAAGTGGGATTTACGTTAGTCAGAGATGCAGGACTCAGCTGTTCGTAGGAGGGAGACCACATACACACCTTGTGCTACGGTCAGAAGCTAAATTGTGTGGTAGAGCTTAAGGTGTCAGTGATGACTTCTTCTTACTGTCTGTGTCACTTACTTTTTCACTTGATGCCTTCCCCCAGACAGATTAAAATGGAAATCAGTATATACCAGCCAACAACCCTGATTTTGGGTGGGAGGAGAGGGTTAATCTGCTAAAGCAATATATCTAGACTCAGGCAAGGAAATAGATTTACAGATTGTTGTGGAGAAATAAAGAGGTGACAGTAATTTTTCCATGTATGATTTTCAAAGACGGTCCCCAAACATGTCCAGACCTGCAGTGTAACCCTGGCCATCCCATCATCCTTTCTAGAGGCTTAAAGTGGAGACGAGCTCAGCATCAGACTGCCAAGCAAGTAGTGTGCTGGTGCCTGCCCCTCCTTAGCAGCATTGCTTCAGAGAACTGAGCCCTAGAAAACTTGCCTGGGGTGTTAGTGCTTTAGTGGTAGGCTGCTTTAAGGAGAGCCATGTCTCATGTTCTTCTTTTAATATTATCCGATTTGAAAATCTTTTTAGACCCAGATTACATGAAAGACATTTTTTGTTACCACCCATGGTAAAGTAAAATGAGAACAGACACATACAACAACTACCAGTTACTCTTACAAACATATATAAAAGAAAGTTTTAGGCCATGGAGTCTTGGTTTCTATTTCCTTTTTTTTATTCTTGCACATCTACTGAAGTAAAATCCATAAACAGTATGGGAGCTATTTTTCCATGGGGAGGGGTCATAAGGGATAGACGCAGGGTATGAGGGAAGGGAATGAAGCCAGAGCATATCCTTAGAAGCACTGGTAAGTGATCGATTTGAGTTGATTTTACCAAGTTCCTGGAAACTGCAGATGCTGGATTTCAGGGATGAGAAAAGAACAAGCTACTGGACTTGAACATGTGACATCTACACTGATAGGACTTATTTTCAAGATAGTACTTGAGGCAGAGTACTGAAGCAAGGAGGCTAGAGGTCTTCATTTATCTGGAGCTGAATCCCTCCGCTCTGTGTTCTCTGGGTGTAACACACACACTTTAGTTTGGTGAATTTTTGTTGAATTCACTTGAAATCAAGGAATAATATGCCTAGAATTGACATAGGAGTTATTTCATGTGAGGCCTTCAATTACCCCCCCCCCCAATTTTCTGTCCTTTGGAATTTCTCCTCAGAGTTTAAACTTGGCTAAACAGAGGGAAATGGTACCAGACACTGCATAGACATAATAAAATCACTAATTGGCTCATTTAAAGCTTCATTATATGTCCTCTGTTATTCAAAACCAATTCTGTACTTTTAGTGAATGACTTACATGGCTAATTGTGAAAGCCCCTTCTAATGTAAATGTTCATGTGATTTGACAGTGGCATGGAAAAGAGAAGAAATTCTGGGTTTATTTTCCTTCTGTGGGCTCCTCCATTACACTAATAAGATTCTGGTTTTAGAGGGCAAAGGTCGGGCGCTGGGCAGAAAGTTGAATGGGGACAGTTTTGTTTTTCTTTTTTTCTGAGAAAATACTTTTTATTTTTAATGAGCTTATTATTTTACATGAAGATATTCTAGATGAGAAGAGATTGCCCTGTTGTAGAAATCACCACCCAATAAGTTTGGCCCCAGCACAGAACAATTGGTGACAGAAATTCTTCTGTGGGTTGTGGTCTCCTGCTGGAGCTAAAGTCGGTTGCCATGAGATGATTTCTATGGTCTGCTGAACAGCAAAGATAAGGCTGGCTCTTGGCCATAAACTAGACTGCACAGTCAATAAGATCTGCTTTCGTCAACCCAAGGCTGCTCTTGTTACCTGAAAGGGGACCTGGCCCTGAGCAGGTCTGCCTAAGGCCAGCCGGTGGTGTGTGGGTTCTTGACTTTGTGCGGGAAAATTTCGCAACATGAGTCCAGGTGAACTTTACAGGATGTTTATTAAAGCTGGGGAGGGTGAAACAAGGAAGGCCTTAGCATAGAAGAAGCAACAGGAAAGCCTAGGCTGGGCTGCCCTAGCTCTCTGGGGAGTCGGAGAAAAGGGGGCCTTGGGCACAGGTTCAGGGTATTAGCCTGGATGAGCTGCTGTTGCCCATTGCTGCCCTGGTTGCAAGTCTTGTGGGGTCCCTTAGAGTCTAGAGATGCAGGCCTGTAGGGACAAAGAGAGGGAAGAAGAGGGAAAAGGGAATGGGGAGGGCTGCTCCTAAGAGGGAGAGCACACATTGGGTCCTTTGTCTTGAGACTTCTATTTCTCTCTTGCAGGAAGGAACCTTAGAGGAGGGAGGTCTCAGGGGAGAGTTTCAGCAGAATATTCACCAGTTTCCTAGGTGTGCTCCTTCATGGCCGTGGTCCTCACTGATTGGTCAGTGTCAGGGCAGGGGGTCATTAGTCATTGCAGCTGCTCCTGGTGTCGCCTATGTGGTTTTGCTGCTTTTCTGGGTCTGGAGCTGAAATACAACTGAGGCCTAGATGTTATCTCCAGGGAGGTGACCTTTTGTATCTGCTGTAAATTGTTCTGCCAGCTTATTGAGCTATCTGTCTCAGTTTCCTCATTCCGCTTGTCCTGGCTTACTGGCCTGTCTCACTCTGACTAATGAATGGAGACAGTTTTAAAAGGTTATTTGAAAAGGAGTTTGCCAAGGCGCACTGTTTCCCTTGGTTGCCAAAGCAAGCTCAACGGCAGCTCTCAGATCCAGACAAGTACTTCATGCTGAATCTTTAATCTAAGACTTAACTGGCATTGGAAAGTTGGTATTTCATTTTCTGCTGCAGGCAGTATATCACTTTGAAAGTGTTAAATATGTCTCCAATCATCCTAGTTGGACTCTCAGCCTTTTCCACTGAACAATAAGGGAAGTAGGTGAAATTACTTAAAGCCTCTGCCAGCTATGACAGTCTAGGATTCTGTGATTTGATGAAATTCCAAGGTATATCTCCAACTACACAGATGCCTTTAATGAAGCCAGAAAACAGATCTGGAAAGGGAGGGGGGGTGATATTCTTTAAATGATAATTTGGCCTTTTGGGGGAAGAACATACATAGGGCTTCAACATATCTCTGCTGTCTGGTATCTGCAAAGGCCAGGGAAGAGATATGTAAACCTTCCATTTTGCCTGCCTTGCTCTGTCATGATACGTGGGTCACTTTAAAAGCAGGAGGTACAAGGTGTAGGGGCTACTGAAATGCAGTGCAACGGAACCCCAGTTCCCCTCTCAAAAGATGAACTTAGCTTTTCATTTTTGTGTTCATTTTTTTTTTTTGTCATTTTATCCAAAGAGATTTATATAATGGTATGGTCATTGAAATCTTTGGATGTGAGTAAAATATAACCCCCACATACTCATCAAGGGACTATCAGAAGCTGCATTTTCCAAATGGCACCCACCAAGAAGAATAAATTGCTCAATATGGGGATTCTTCTGAGCTAAATCTTGGAGTCACTCATGGGAGCGTTTTGCTGCAGCACTACTGTGCTGTGTTGTACATTTTGGGCCCTAGAATATAATGTTTCCTGCCTGTATCATGAATTTTGATCTTCGACTATATTTTGTTTGCATTTCCATAATTTTATACCACTGTTTTATGTCTGAGGTGTGTACCCTTAAATCTGCTATCCTGTCTTTTTATCAAGGTGTACCATATTTCCTGCCCTGAAGCTTCTCTAAAATCCAGCATTTAAACTCTTCTGGAAGTTAACATATGTGCTTCTGATTAGGGAAGAGCATTAATTTACTTATTTTAATAATAATAGTATGCCAATTTTTAGTAAACAGGGGTGTGTTAGAATTGGAAAGTGCTTAACAACACAGTTAATTAATAATCAGACAGTTATTTCTGCATTTCAGGGAGGGCTATGCCATTGACTCCCATTAAAAAATTATGATTGTTGCCCTGGCCGGTGTGGCTCAGTTGATTCAATGTCATCCTGCACACTGAAAGGTTGCTGGTTCGATTCCTGGTCAGGGCACATACCCAGGTTGTGGGTTCAATCCGGGTCAGGGTACGTATGGGAGGCAACCAATTGATGTTTCCCTCTTTCTCCATCTCTCTTCTTCTCTAAAAATCAATAAAAACATGTTAAAGAAATTAATTATGATTGTGGAATACATTATTATTTCTCAAACAAAGGCTACCACTCAGAATGTTCAAAATTTAGGTAGTCACAGGGCCGTGTTGGAGTTAAGAATAGATGGTAATTATGAAAATAATAGTATGTGAGCAAGTTTTTGGAAAAATATAAAGTATTTTCTAAGCATACATTATTTTTAAATGTGTTGTTATTCTACATTAACTCCATCATCAGAGTTCTTGCGCTGAAACCAGCCAATCAAGGGAACTACTCTAGAATGGAGGTTGAAAATAGTGTTGTGCTGTTGTGTGCCAAAGGTTACATGGGTTGGTGTGTTTCCAAAATTACTCTTTTACCTTGGCTTTCAGATAATGTGGTCCTTTAACTAAAGTTAAAATGCTCACCAAATACATGCCATTTTGGCCTGGGTTATTTCTCTAGGTGTCCGATTTTCTCCAATTTTAGAAAATACTTAATTTCTCATTAAAGAGACTTGAAGGAAAGTCCTTGTCAAAGGATGTGAGTACTAACATCAAAGAGAAAGGAGACAGGATTCTGCTGATATCTCTCTTGAAATATCATGAACATACCCTGCCCTGCTCAGTCAGTGAACTGCCTGTGTTTTGTGTATGCTGCAGTCACTCTTGGGGTTTTAAAACTTGAAAAAATTTAACTTCAGTAGCCCAATATTAATGGAAAGTTGACTCCGCTCTCTTCAAAACCAGCTCCTGAGGCCACCTAGTGGAGATTGCTGCCATTTTCCTGAACAGAGAATCCAAGTCACTCTTCACCATCTTCAAGCCAGGGACCTGTGAGGGGGGCAGTTTCATTGTTGCTTTTTCGTCCAATGAGATCACCCTTCAATTTAGGATTCATGCCTGCCTTCTGGACTGCTGAGGACTATGAGAATGTTGATAAGCTGAATGCAACTATACAGGCTGAAGCCACCCACCTGGAGGCTCCACTCTCCTCCACAGTGGCTTTGATAATAGTGTTGATGATTATTTTCTCATTGGTAATGACCTCCTTTGTGACATACTGTTTCCACAAGTGGAGGCTGAAGGGTCGCAAGCTGCAGACAGCCCAGGAAGAATATCAAAGAGATCAGGAGAAATACATATTTCATAGCTTTCCTGATCTTACTTCCTAAAAATGCAATAAACTGACATGTGAAGTGCACCATCTGCAACAAAGCAAAATAATAATATGACAAGAAGTGGAAAAAAAAACCATGAAATTAGAAGAAATAAAGAAATTAGACATGAAACAATAAAAAGTAAAATAACATGAATTAAAACTACGGAAACAATATGATACACTGCAAAACAACCTAAAGCGAAAGAAGAATGACAATTGTACAATGAATTCTAAAAGCAAGAGTTCATGTTGTAGCTGATCTGTTAATCAAGCTGTTCACTGTTTGAAGGTTGCCTACAGTTTTATTACAGGTTATAAGCAATTTGGTTTCTTTTTGTTGTCATTTTGTTGTAAAGTGAAAGCAAAGCTATCACATACTTTACATCTACATTTTATTTACTCTTAACCTTTGATTTGGTGGTGAGTGTGAGTAAACAGAAGTTCTGTACTGCTCATTTACTTACCAAGGGTGGGAAGCTGAATACACAGACAGGAATTTTGTTTAGTATCAGGCTCATAATATGGTAGTTTATTTCTTGTAATATTTGTCATGAAGATGAGGAAAAGAAAGACTATAATCTTGGTACATGTAGTTGATATTTTAAGTACTATTAGAAAATAAGTAAATGTGTTGAATTGTAAGCATTGTGTGTTTTTTTTAATTTAAAAGAAGGGGGAAAAAACAACAACTCCCAAACAACTAATTACCCTACCCCCCTGAAGTTTTGCTTAAGTTATGGCTTGCCTGAAGTTCATATTAATTAATGTTGTCTATGTTTGAAGCAGAATTATTATCTGGTGATAGTGCTGTATGTATACTTGTTTAGATAAGACAAAGTGGTCGTTATGATATGAATGAGATAATTTTAAAGAGTATGTATTATTTAAGTAGTGCTGACAATTAAAATATGAACATTTCTTGGATGTTGTAAATGAAATCTAAATGATGTATAGATTCATTATAGAATGTATTGTGAAGCATACTAGTTGTTGGATATGAAAGCAAGTAAGCAAGCAGTCATACTTTGTGACTCAATAAATGTGCATTAAAAATAAAATGCGAGTATTTGGATGCAAACAAAGCAATTGTCTTTGGGTAAAATTGTTTCCATTAAGAACTTAAGGTAGAGAAAGATTGGGGGTTAAGGTTAGTGGAGAAGAATTTCTGCATGTCAGAGGATGTCTGAGAAAGGAAGGAGATGGAGTGAAATTGAAGCAAAGGGATTTCTACAGAACAAACACATAGTTTTAAGGTCTCAGAGAGAGAAGCAGAGAGATAAAATACATCGTTTCTGTTTTCCAGGAATTTAGATTGAGACTCAAAATAGACACTTGGAAAAAAAACTAGGAACATTTACAAAGCACATGTAAGGGAATTTAAATACATGTAGTTAACCAAATTGCTCCTGGGCCTGTGGATACATACACAGTCTTAGCATCAAGAACCTGTAGTTCTCACCCCACTTGCTTACAGGACCACCAGTATTTCTTATAACTTTGCTGGGAGTCTCCAAAGTGTGGGAGTGAGGTGAAGGGAGGGGAGCAATGGTGTTCGCAGTCAATATTTCCACTATAGTCACTACACAGTGATTACCATGTTTTCTCTCATGCTCTCTTTCCTTTTAGCAACATCTGCTACCTGCAAAGTTGCTTCAAAGAGCCTCCCTGTTAACCCTTGACGATAATGTCCATTATGTGGAAGCCAAATCTGTGCCACTGATGCTATTTCTCAATGCTTACAAGCCACCAGTCCTTGGGGTCCCATATACAACAGAACAGAAAGACCTTAACTTAATATCATGCTAGTCTTTGTCACCTGGATTCCAAAAGAGCATTCCTAGTTCCAGCCTTAACAAAATGACTGCCCCCCCCCCAAACACCAGAGAATCAAACCCATCCAAGGTACGGGGTTGGGGAAAAAAACCCACACTCCCTTGAATCTGGCTCCCCATCTCTCCTGAGACCATCTTATTCTCCTTTCCTCGGTTACAAAACATTCCTTTGTCTCCTTCTAATATCAATAATTACAAAATGGACAATGGAAGAAAGTGGGAGAGGTACTAGCCATACTATCTAAGCCCCACTCCTTCACTGAAAACAAACAACAACAACAACAACACCCCACAAGCTGTTATGGTAGTTCAAGATGCAAAAGGGTATGTGGAGTAAGAGAGGAATCTAGAGATGGTATGAATTGATAGGGATTTTATTCGTATAGAAGGATTTTTGAATCATATCTTGAAGGAAAGGAAGAAAGTGTTGATGAGAGGTGAAATGGCAAAAAGAGGATTAGAACTTGTAGTGGGGTAATGACATTTACAAAGCATTAAGTATTTGAACCACTCCCTTTTCCGGAGGCTTCTAAGGGGCATGAAGGGTTTGCTATGGATGTGGCTTATCCACAGTGGCAGGTGAAGCTGAGAGATGGGCGAGCTGTGGATCAAGGGGGAGCTGATGTCTTTCAGTCAGAAAAGGCATCAAAATGAACCATCCAAGAGAGGGGAAAAAATACTTAAACAGATAATACAGCCTGGGAATTCATGAGATTTGGGAAAAAATGAGTATGTGGGAAGTCAATCCCAGGCCAATCTTCAGGCCATGTGATGTTACTCTCAGCAGTTTTTTGTATGCTTGCCACATGTGCAAACAGCTGTAACAAATAGAACTAAAATTTACCCAGAATGTGACCCCCGCCCCTCAAGATAGACATCACATCAAAAGAAGGGGTTTACTGAAAACAAAATAGATGGAAAGGAGAAAGGGCAGGGAGCTTGATGCATCAAGGGAACACACACTAACAAAGAATATGGCTCCCTGAATTGCTACGAGGTCTGGCTTACATAGGGCTGGGTTCTTCACACAGGTGCAGAGTAGATTTCTTTGCTTTCCAGGTTGCCGTGGTGAGCTGGTATTGACTGGCACAGGTGCAGAGCAGAGGTCTTTGCTTTCCTGGGCAGATGTCAACAGAGTGGAGCTCTTTGGGGAGTGACTGAAGAGAAACTTTAAACTTATTTAGGATAGCTTTAAAAAAGTAATTGAAGAGCATACCCATCCATATAAAAGAGTCTCACCCAGAAACATGGAAGTAGGGCACAGACTGACATCCCTCAGAAGAGGGGGTGGGGGGTGGGGGGTGGGAAGAGATAAACCACAGAACTTATATGCATGTATGCATGACCAATGGACATGGACAACTAAGCCGGGGCCGGGGCGGAGGTGGGGTGGGGTGGGGGGTGCCAATGGGGTAAAAAGGTAAAATATCTGTAACAAAAAAATAAATAAAATTAATTACAATTAAAAAAAATAAAAATAAATAAATAAAAGAGTCTCAGCTTGTCTAAGAAGAAGAGGTTTTTTTCTCTTTCCTGTAACAGTCCAATGCAGAAGTTCCAAGCTGGCTGGTTGTGGTAGGATGAGGGTTTGTTCTACAAAACATTCAGGGACCCAGGCTAATGATGGAGCTGTTGTCCTCAACACATGATTATCACAGATGCTTGGGTTATCACAGTGGTCACTCCAGTGCACAAAAGTACAAAAGAGTAAAGGAGAGTGCACATGGTGGGGTTTATGAGCAAGCATACATCACTTCTGCCAAAATTCCATTGGAAAGAACCTAACCACAAGGAAGCTGGTAGTATAGCTAGGCAGCCATATACCGAGCTCACTATGGTATATGGGGAGAAGAGATTTTAGAGGACAGCCATACAGTGTCCTGCCACAATGTCCTGTTATGTACTGGCTTGAAGGCAAAGGCTGCAGTTCTTTTTTTTTTCCTTTGTTGATTTTAGAGAGAGGAAGGGAGAGGGAGAGAGAGAGAGAAACATGATGAGAGAGAACATCAACTGGCCACCTCCTGCATGCCCCCCACCAGGGATCAGGCCAACAACCTTGGCATGTGCCTTGACTAGGAATCGAACCGGCGACCTCTCGGTGCACGGGTCGACGCTCAACCACTGAGCCACACCAGCCGGCTGGTTCTTTTAAAAGGGCATACTATTGCTGGTAATAAAACAGAAAACAGGAATGGGTTGATTTTTTTTGTGGGAGCAAGTAAGAGTTTCCTCTTGAGAGAATAATAAGAATGATGGAAGAGGAAGTGATGGAACCAGGTACAGTTTTAAAATTTGAGTCAATAAAATATCACTGTAGCTTCTTGAACAAGAGTGTGATGATCAAATGATGTTTAAGAGTTTCAATAAATTATTATAGGATTTATTCACATTTAGATCCACACATTATTTCAAACAGGTTTTGGATGAGTTATGTAGGAGGGCACACTTTTATAAATCAGAATACAGACCAGTTTACAAGTATTGAGTGAAAGAGTAACACTGGGAGCAGTTAAACTGGCTGCAAGGGCTTAAGGACCTAGCTAAACACGAGCAATGGCCACGGAGGCAGGAAATGGGATAAAATCTGGAAGAGACACTGTAGAAAAGGAATCAGTAACACTTGGAGAAGGACTGAAATAGGCAGCGAAGGATAGTAACAGAAGCACAAGTAATCAAGAAACACTGGGTATGAGGGGCAGGCAGGCTACCATAGAAGCTTAAGATGTGACCCTGACCTTCAGGAAGATTAAAATCTTCAGCTGGATTTAGAAAATCAATATATATGACACTGTGAGCTGAAGCCGTCTTCTGAATGGAGATGTGAGTACTGGAGATGTGCTTTGAAAGGTATAATTTGGATAAATGGGGAGAAGTGAGTCAGTTCCGGACGTGTAAGAGGGAACCAATTCAGTTCAAGTCAATAAATATGTGTTACGAGCTTGTTATATGCTGAGCATAGTGTCAGAAGCCGGAGATAGAGAAGTTAACAAGACTAAAATGGTGCCTACCTTCGTGGAGATTATAGTCTTGCAGAGAAGGAAGACACTGAACACAAGTTATAAATGCAATATATATTATGCAAGGCAATCATGAATTGCTATGAGAGCACATAATGAGGGGCTGAATCTAGTCTAACAAATGGTCAAAAGAAGATGAGTTTGGGCGCAAGGAGGAAGGCACTCCAGAGAGAGAAACCTGGAGATGTGACAGTCCCAAGGCAAGAAAAAGCTCAATATGTTGGAAGAATTGATAGAAGTCTGGTA